TATAATACTATAGACATAGCTGTTGACCCTAACGTTTTTTAGGTTAATTAAATCATCTCTTCCATTAATCTCGTATCAATTATCCACATCACCTTGGCACAAACTGGCATCATCAATCCGTTTCTTATTGCCACTCTGTCGTAATTTAGACTAGAGAAATAAATCGAGTGATTGTGTGTTTTGACGGCTAACACAACACCCTGTATTCACCTGTAATGTATAATATTAGCTGTATCTCGGTCAGTGGTTTCATGGCTGAATACACATCTTTGCCCTCGGCCGTCTTCTATTAAATTCAGAACGTAAAACCTGTGATTATCTTGCTTTCATATATTTTCAGTGTGCCCTTGCGGGGAGGACCTCGAGTATTGATTGAAGGAAATCATTTTACCACATGACAGGAGGCTTTATATTATGGTTAAAGTCTCTTTACTAAACTCCAAATAGCCCAATCAAAACTAATAGGGAGGTAATATAAGGGCATGGCACTATAAGCACCTCCACTTTCTTTGCTGCTCCTGCATTAGCCTGCCACCAGCCGTTTCTCTCCCACAGGTCCCAGAATTGGTCAAACCTCTTCATTCTTCCCTGGTACATCAAGGCGAAATTCCTTTTCCCCTCAAAAGAGCCATGATTTTGGGGTAGAGTTGTAAAGCCCACTTCTTGACAGGTGGGTGGCCTAGTTCCACATTATTTCCATTCTTTTACCGCTGACAGTTTTTTTTTGTTCCTGCAGGAATGATTGGTGTACACGTCAGACGCATGGGTTCTGTAGACGGTTCAGGGCTATGTAATAGAATTTCACATGGCTCCAATCCAGGATGCCCACCACATTATATTGTGGTATCTGAGGAATACAGGACCCTCATAGACACAGAGATCCGAAATATTTTCTAGAAAGGTGCAATTTAATTAATCAAGGACGGCTATGTATTCTCCAGCAACATCTTTCTGGTGTTAAAGAAAATGGGGGATTTTCACCTCGTCATCAACCTCTGTCTGCTCAACAAGTTTGTGGTGTTCATTAACTGCAAGATTTAGGGAATCCATCTGCTGCAAGATCTTCTTCAGGAGGACGATTGGTTTACCCTACTGGATCTGAAGGATGCATACCTGTGAGTGCTGCTGGCTTAGGAAAGTCAATGTTTTCTTAATTTTCAGTGGTGAGATCATACGCTCCAGTTCACTTTTCTACATTTTGGACTGAGCTCTGCTCCATGGTGGTTCACCAAACTACTGAAACCAGTGATGGCCCACCTTCCAGCAAAGGGTTTTTGCTGTCTGACGACCTTCTTCTCTTTTGTGACACCGCATCACATCTACGATTACAATCACGCTATATGATTCACTTATTGAAATCCCTGGGCTACATGGGAACTGAGAACGGTTGTCTCTCTCCTGCTCACTTAGTTCAATTTCTAGTGTTCGAAATTGTTGCTGTGAACTGTGTCCTTTGGTTACTACAGTCCAAGTCAATTAAGAAGGAACTCCGAAGGAGCTTTCGTCTCCTCGATGATATTTTACAACCTCGATGCACTCAGAGGTCCGCTGGTGGTGGATCTATTCTCTTCCCAGAAGAACCATCAACTACCAGTCTTGTTCAGCTGGCTTCCAGATCTGGACTGTGTAGCAGCTGACTCATTTCTCCAGATTTGGCCTTTCATGGGAGCGTATGCGTTTCAATGATATCAAGGGTCCTTTACCTGATTCACCTGGTCAGGCCAGCTCTTGGCATCTTATGTCCACCCACATAAGCTGGTATATACTACCTTGTTAGCTAGGTGGGTTTGCTGGCTTTTATCGCCTGCGTATTTTGTGGCTCATTTTTTCCAGGATTGGGCGCATCATTGTCTAGTATTTTTCGTTCGGCAGTTAGGTCCAGATAGGATATGTTTTGGACATTCTACTTTTGTCCAGTTCTTGACATTTCTCTTTCTTACGGAGCATTAACACCGCAAAATATGGAGAATCTTCAATTTGCTACAAAGCCTTTCTTTCCTTGAATAGAGTTTATTGCCTGACCACCCATTCACATTATAAGAATAATTCCTTGGAATCAGACAGATGGTGTACCTGTGGCAAACCTATCCACTTAAGACTGTATTTACATTTATATGATATTGTTGCTTTAAGACTGCCTGAAATGTCCATGTTCCCTATTCTGTGTTTTATGTGAACGAGAGCATTTGGATGGCAACAATGTATCTCTCGGCAGTTAATAGATTTTCAGGGTGGCCACCGTTCGGATACCGACCACGCGGCAGCGGCCATATTGGATCCTTTGTTAGCCCAGCAGTGTTTGGTCGTCAAGTGCCTGGAACTAAAATCGGCTACTCGACGGCACGAATACCGCTGGACTTCCAGGCTGTTCGGGACCACGGTCTTTCCGTACTTTCTCTCTACATGTGTATTCGTGACTTTTATGAGGAGTTTATATTCAAGTGTATTTCGGCGTTCGGCTAATTGTGCTGGGATCTGAGCGGTACTTTCATAAAGTATGCGCTCAGACCACAGCTATCTGCTGAACGGTCATTCGGTACAATGGCACGAATAAAATATAAATTATGGGTTTTTAAGTAAAAAGCCAGTTCTGCTGTACGGAGGGATAATCCACTTAACAGGATATTCTTATGGGAGTATCCCTTTCGTACAGTGGTGCATGGTGGGAGAAATGTCCTGTATGTTAAGTTCCACATGTAGTCCCCTATTGTACAACCCCATGTAAAGTAATTAAGGAAACCCCTTGCATGGGGAACCACATAAATACTGGAGCTTGTGAATAAAACCACAGTTGACTCCCATGCTATGTGTCGTCTAGTTCTTGGGAAGGAAGGATCCTTATAACGCTACCGGGATTATTGTATGCTGTACTTGTTTTCCTGGATTATTGTATTCTGCTCCTGTCTACCAGCAGAAATACTGTGGATTATACTACCTCTCCGCCACAGTAACATGTATTGATTCCCACGTGTAATTTCCAGAAGCTTCTCTAATAATAAAGGTAGCAGTGCCTTGTACTTGCTTGATTTATTAGCATTTAATCAAAGTCTGATAACCGTAATCTAACCATCATATTGTCACCGAATTCTCAGGACCTATAAGCAGTAGTGGCGCTGTTATGAGAGCCATGTTTAACCTCTCCCGTGTCAGATTTTAACATATTATTATAAGAGAAGCATGCATTCGCATATAAAAGGATTTCCGGGAGAAAAAAACGAGAAATTGTAACAGTTTCTGTGCTTCAATATAAAACGATTGTTTCAATAAGTACATATCTTTGCGTAATTAGTTTTTTTACATTCTTTTTTTTTTTTTTAGTGCATTTTTTTAGTGCAAACGAGTATATAGGTATTTTTCAGGAATGTGGTCAGAAAGCAAAAGGTGTAAACAGTGTGAAATGTGTAAAAAATAATGCACTTTTTATATAAAAAATTATAAAACTGGTAAAGCTAGCATGTCTAGATACTTCTAGCTGGTTCGACTTTCTATCAGAGGAGAAGTGCTAAACAAAACAAGCGATAAATGATTATATTCTCTGAACTGATGCTACATGTATGGGATGAGGCCGGCTAACTAGACATGGTGATAATATAACAGGCATGTGTATATGAAGCAAGTAGTATTAAACATAATAGAGAAGCAGGGATCTCTGTGTTAAATGCCAAGATGAGGCACTTGGAGTGCTTGGATATCCCAGCTTGGTTCACCCTATGCTGCAGTTTGGCCACATAGCAAGCCATGCTCCACGCCTGGCATGTCTCCCCCTCTCTCCTTCATGAGATGTATCAGGGATTGGTGAGTGTCACACTGCCTCTTGTCAAGAAGTTGGAGGTGCCACTATACTGCTACCTTCGACCTTTGGCCAAGTCCATGGATCTCTGCATGCTCGATGGTGTAATGTAAATGCCTCTGGGCCAGGCTGGCAGATGGAGGGGTTTACTTCTCCATAGGTGGGGTGAGTTGTGAGTAACATGGAGATCTGTGCTGTGTGGAGTAGCCAATCACCACCGGTCTAAAGGCAGGGGGAGCAGAGGACTCGTAGTAAGCTAGTCGGTTCAGTGTCTGGAGAGCGGCCATCTCTCGCCCCTTTCATGCTTGTAGACCGCAAAAGGGTAAATCAGATGATCCGGTCAAGGGTTTCACTAAGTCCGGCCTCATTCTGCTTGCCCTGAATTGAATTTGTGAGTAAAGTGTCAAACTGACTGCATTAAATCAAGAGAATATTTTGCAAAGTTCCAGAACTCACTCGGCACACGTCTGCATGGCTTGACAGCAAGCCTCAGCCCCAGCCCCCATCTTTGCCTAATTTTATACCAAAATATAAATGTTATTGTGCAGGAACTGTGTCTTAATCGAAAAAAATAAGGCAAACCGTAACATGGCATTATGTACATTGTGAGAAAAATCGCAGTATGGGCTTTTGTGGCCTTTTGTGTTGCAGTTGTGTGGTTTTTTGTTTTCACAAATTAGGGCTATTTAGTCATGAGCGCAATATGGGCAAATTGATTATCTTAAAGGGATACTGTGTCTGTCGCACGCCTCTATTATTATCCATCCTGCCACCATTATCTGTAAAATGTTCTCTTTTCAATCGGAAATCAATGTTTACACGTATGATAATGTCAACGCGGTGAATCCTGACCACACAAATCTACTGAGAATAAAAGTAAATGTATTATAGCCGTGTTCCTCTCCTTCTGTACAATGAGATACAGTAATCATTGCTAGCAATCACTGGGCGAGTGACTTACTGTATTCACGTTGCGAGAAGCGGAGCGCTTTGTCCTGGGGTTACATTCTTGTATAACTATCAAGATAGACTGTATGTGAGAGAAACTGAACAGAGCGCTCAAAAAATCCATTGGGAAATATCTCTAATGTGATATCACTGCTGCAATATTGCAGGAAAACAAAATGCGACATCTGTCTGTTCACACTTCACAGAAACTCATGTTACACAGATAGTAAGAAAACATGTCCATCCATTGTTATACCGGAACATGTCCATCCGCTCAGAGACCAGAACACGTCCATCCGCTCAGAGACCAGAACACGTCCATCCGCTCAGAGACCAGAACACGTCCATCCGCTCAGAGACCAGAACATACCCATCCGCTCAGAGACCAGAACACGTCCATCCGCTCAGAGACCAGAACACGTCCATCCGCTCAGAGACCAGAACATACCCATCCGCTCAGAGACTAGAACGCGTCCATCCGCTCAGAGACCAGAACACGTCCATCCGCTCAGAGACCAGGACATGTCCATCCGCCAGAGACCAGAACACGTCCATCCGCTCAGAGACCAGAACATGTCCATCTGCTCAGAGACCACAACATGTCCCTCCGCTGCGACATCAGAACATGTCCATCCGCTGCGAGACCAATCCTATTAATGCTATGTTGCGATAGTCTGCATGCTTTCTACACTGTCCTATTAATCCTATGTTGCGATAGTCTGCGTGGTTTCTACGCTGTCCTATTAATGTATGTTGCGATAGTCTGCGTGGTTTCTACGCTGTCCTATTAATGCTATGTTGCGATAGTCTGCGTGGTTTCTACGCTGTCCTATTAATGCTGTGTTGCGATAGTCTGCGTGGTTTCTACGCTGTCCTATTAATGTATGTTGCGATAGTCTGCGTGGTTTCTACGCTGTCCTATTAATGCTATGTTGCGATAGTCTGCGTGGTTTCTACGCTGTCCTATTAATGCTGTGTTGCGATAGTCTGCGTGGTTTCTACGCTGTCCTATTAATGTATGTTGCGATAGTCTGCGTGGTTTCTACGCTGTCCTATTAATGCTATGTTGCGATAGTCTGCGTGGTTTCTACGCTGTCCTATTAATGCTATGTTGCGATAGTCTGCGTGGTTTCTACGCTGTCCTATTAATGCTATGTTGCGATAGTCTGCGTGTATGTTACGATAGTCTGCATGTGTTCTATTTTGTAATGTCGGCTGTTGCTTGCTGCAGATTTGTTCCCAGTGACAGTACTGACCTAACTAAATCTAAAACTGCGGTCCTGATATTTTCAGACTGTGATAAATGATTAGCTCCTATAAAATGTGATGAGCAAGCTCATTCTGCGAGGATGGAAAGGGCTGGGTGAGTATAGTGCGCAGTTTATACTGACCCAGTAGCAGATAGAACCGAGAAATGGCTGCACGTATTACTGCTGATCCTTACACAAATAGAAGCTTTTATTATATTGTTTCATCAGAAAGGTTTCTGTACAAACATCATAAAACGTATTGTCTCATTCTCTGACACAGGACCTATATTGGGATATTCAGCGTTTCTCCAATTCTTCGTATTAATCTCGAAATCACGCCGTTTTCTAACTGCTGGAAACAAAATATCAGTTTGCCATTTAGGTTTCAGAATGTGAATAATGCAAATTAAAAATGCTTTAATGTTCTATTTTCACAGAATACGCAATAAACTCCCCTTTCTACTTTCCAGGCTGCTTTGTATAGATCTGAGTCTATTTGTGCAATTATTCAAATATTTACTAAAAACCAAGCAGTTTATGTATTATGTAAAGATGTATTTATCATTTGGCACTTTGTAATGTGTTATTTCTATAGCGTATAAGAGGGTGCACTGCCAGCTCTATTAATATAACAAACCGTTTCAGAGAGTGTCGGCAGCTCTATTAATATAACAGACTGTTTCAGAGAGTGTCGGCAGCTCTATTAATATAACAGACTGTTTCAGAGAGTGTCGGCAGCTCTATTAATATAACAGACCGTTTCAGAGAGTGTCGGCAGCTCTATTAATATAACAGACTGTTTCAGTAAGGGCCGGCAGCTCTATTAATATAACAGACTGTTTCAGTAAGGGCCGGCAGCTCTATTAATATAACAGACTGTTTCAGTAAGGGCCGGCAGCTCTATTAATATAACAGACTGTTTCAGAGAGTGTCGGCAGCTCTATTAATATAACAGACTGTTTCAGAGAGTGTCGGCAGCTCTATTAATATAACAGACTGTTTCAGTAAGGGCCGGCAGCTCTATTAATATAACAGACTGTTTCAGTAAGGGCCGGCAGCTCTATTAATATAACAGACTGTTTCAGTAAGGGCCGGCAGCTCTATTAATATAACAGACTGTTTCAGTAAGGGCCGGCAGCTCTATTAATATAACAGACTGTTTCAGTAAGGGCCGGCAGCTCTATTAATATAACAGACTGTTTCAGTAAGGGCCGGCAGCTCTATTAATATAACAGACTGTTTCAGTAAGAGCCGGCAGCTCTATTAATATAACAGACTGTTTCACACAGTGCCGGCAGCTCTATTAATATAACAGACTGTTTCAGTAAGGCCCGGCAGCTCTATTAATATAACAGACTGTTTCAGTAAGGGCCGGCAGCTCTATTAATATAACAGACTGTTTCAGAGAGTGTCGGCAGCTCTATTACTATAACAGACCGTTTCAGTAAGGGCCGGCAGCTCTATTAATATAACAGACTGTTTCAGTAAGGCCTGGCAGCTCTATTAATATAACAGACTGTTTCAGTAAGGGCCGGCAGCTCTATTAATATAACAGACTGTTTCAGTAAGGGCCGGCAGCTCTATTAATATAACAGACCGTTTCAGTAAGGCCTGGCAGCTCTATTAATATAACAGACTGTTTCAGTAAGGGCCGGCAGCTCTATTAATATAACAGACCATTTCAGAGAGTGTCGGCAGCTCTATTAATATAACAGACTGTTTCAGTAAGGGCCGGCAGCTCTATTAATATAACAGACCATTTCAGTGAGTGTCGGCAGCTCTATTAATATAACAGACTGTTTCAGTAAGGCCTGGCAGCTCTATTAATATAACAGACTGTTTCACACAGGGCCGGCAGCTCTATTAATATAACAGACTGTTTCAGTAAGGGCCGGCAGCTCTATTAATATAACAGACTGTTTCAGTAAGGGCCGGCAGCTCTATTAATATAACAGACTGTTTCAGTAAGGGCCGGCAGCTCTATTAATATAACAGACTGTTTCAGTAAGGGCCGGCAGCTCTATTAATATAACAGACTGTTTCAGTAAGGGCCGGCAGCTCTATTAATATAACAGACTGTTTCAGTAAGGGCCGGCAGCTCTATTAATATAACAGACTGTTTCAGTAAGGGCCGGCAGCTCTATTAATATAACAGACTGTTTCAGTAAGGGCCGGCAGCTCTATTAATATAACAGACTGTTTCACACAGGGCCGGCAGCTCTATTAATATAACAGACTGTTTCAGTAAGGGCCGGCAGCTCTATTAATATAACAGACTGTTTCAGTAAGGGCCGGCAGCTCTATTAATATAACAGACTGTTTCAGTAAGGGCCGGCAGCTCTATTAATATAACAGACTGTTTCAGTAAGGGCCGGCAGCTCTATTAATATAACAGACTGTTTCAGTAAGGGCCGGCAGCTCTATTAATATAACAGACTGTTTCACACAGTGCCGGCAGCTCTATTAATATAACAGACTGTTTCAGTAAGGGCCGGCAGCTCTATTAATATAACAGACTGTTTCAGTAAGGGCCGGCAGCTCTATTAATATAACAGACTGTTTCAGTAAGGGCCGGCAGCTCTATTAATATAACAGACTGTTTCAGTAAGAGCCGGCAGCTCTATTAATATAACAGACTGTTTCACACAGTGCCGGCAGCTCTATTAATATAACAGACTGTTTCAGTAAGGCCTGGCAGCTCTATTAATATAACAGACTGTTTCAGTAAGGGCCGGCAGCTCTATTAATATAACAGACCATTTCAGAGAGTGTCGGCAGCTCTATTAATATAACAGACTGTTTCAGTAAGGGCCGGCAGCTCTATTAATATAACAGACCATTTCAGAGAGTGTCGGCAGCTCTATTAATATAACAGACTGTTTCAGTAAGGCCTGGCAGCTCTATTAATATAACAGACTGTTTCACACAGGGCCGGCAGCTCTATTAATATAACAGACTGTTTCAGTAAGGGCCGGCAGCTCTATTAATATAACAGACTGTTTCAGTAAGGGCCGGCAGACTGTTTCTATCTATTAATATAACAGACTGTTTCAGTAAGGGCCGGCAGCTCTATTAATATAACAGACTGTTTCAGTAAGGGCCGGCAGCTCTATTAATATAACAGACCATTTCAGAGGTTAGCTCTATTAATATAACAGACTGTTTCAGTAAGGGCCGGCAGCTCTATTAATATAACAGACTGTTTCAGTAAGGGCCGGCAGCTATATTAATATAACAGACTGTTTCAGTAAGGGCCGGCAGCTCTATTAATATAACAGACTGTTTCAGTAAGGGCCGGCAGCTCTATTAATATAACAGACTGTTTCAGTAAGGGCCGGCAACTATATTAATATAACAGACTGTTTCAGTAAGGCCTGGCAGCTCTATTAATATAACAGACTGTTTCAGTAAGGGCCGGCAGCTATATTAATATAACAGACTGTTTCAGTAAGGGCCGGCAGCTCTATTAATATAACAGACTGTTTCAGTAAGGGCCGGCAGCTCTATTAATATAACAGACTGTTTCACTCAGGGCCGGCAGCTCTATTAATATAACAGACTGTTTCAGTAAGGGCCGGCAGCTCTATTAATATAACAGACTGTTTCACACAGGGCCGGCAGCTCTATTAATATAACAGACTGTTTCAGTAAGGGCCGGCAGCTCTATTAATATAACAGACTGTTTCAGTAAGGGCCGGCAGCTCTCTGTTCTAATATGTGATTGGAAACATGTTCTTTCATCATTGTATTTCTGTAGAAACGCAGGATATTGGGCAATAATCCGGCACCGCAGGACACACATTGGGCCATTGAAACTTATATATTTTGTTCTTTCATATCTCAGTTTGAAGAGGCTTTTAATTAATTTGGATTACATTGGGAGCACAGGGGTTAAATGACAGATTCAGCTTGAGTGAGCGCATTAATTGGAAAATAAAAACGCTTTTCATTCTTCTAATAATGCCACATTTTTGCTCATTTAAGGAAAAAAAACAATAAAAACTTTCCATATGTTGCATTAATCTTTATGGTAATTTTTCCAACACATCGTCTCGGGAGAGAGCGGCTGAACAGAAGACGCTTTCATGAAATTATTCTCCGCTTTCCTAATAAATTTCATTGGCACCAGATGGGTCTTTGATTATGTTTTAAATAGGCGGAAATATGTTTGATGGATTAATCAAATCGACTCCAGAAAATATCTTGTTGGCTCGTGTACTTTACACACGCCGTTATTTGTTGCAGAATCAAAAAGAAATGTAATGTGATTATTTATAATGGAAGTTATTTAGCATTTTTAACCCTCTCCAAACTGATCATATGCCGTAACGATTGCATGAAATCCAGGAAATTCTGTAGTCTCTGTATTCCTCTATTTAAAAATAAATAAATGTTCTATGCCGGAAAAATGCCAAGGTTAACG